TTGTCCAGCTGGGTTGCTCACTGTCACGGGTTTGGTCACTTACAGCAGCTTTTCAATGTTCGATATTTCTTCGAATGTTAATCTCACAGATCATTTCCAAAACAAGGGAATGTCTGTAAATTGAAGAAGAAAAAATAGAGGATGTGCAAATTTCATACTTTCTGGGTTAATGGATATTGTTGGCCCTACACCAGAATACTGGTCATAGGGTCATACAGCACAGGAACAGATCCTTTGGCCCAATTAGTCCACGCCAACAACGTTCCCAAATTAAACTAGTCCCACCTACCTGCACTTGGCCCATATCCCTCCAAACCTTTCTATTTATGTATTTATCCAGACATCTTTTAAACGTTGGACTTGTACCTGCATCTACCACTTTTTCTGGCAGTTCATTTCACACATGAACCACTCTCTGTGTAAAAAAAAAAGTTACCCCTCGTGTCCTTTTTTAAATTTTTCTCCTCTCACCTTAAAAACATGCGCCTAGTTTTCAACTCCCCTACCCGAGGGAAAAGACCCTTGTCATTCACCTTATCTATGCCCCTCATGATTTTATAAACCTTTATAAGGTCACCCCTCAACCTCCTATCCTCCAGTGAAAGAAGTCCCAGCCTTTCCATTCTATTTTTATATCTCAAGCCCTCCAGTCTCAGCAACATCCTGGTAAATCTTTTCTGAACTCTCTCTAGTTTAATAATATCCTACCTATAACAGGGTGACCAGAACTGCACACAGTACTCTAGAAGAGGCCTCATCAATGTCCTATACAACCTCAACATGATGTCCCAACCCCTATTACTTAAAGGTCTGAGCAATAAAAACAAGCATGTTAAATGCCTTCTTAACCAGCTGTGATGCAAATTTCGAAGAATTATGTACCTGAACCCCTCGGTCTCTTATGTTCTACAACACTACCCAGGGCCCTACCATTAATTGCACATACCTGTCTCTGTTTGTGTTACCAACATGCAATACCTTACATTTATCCAAATTAACTCCATCTGCCACTCCTCAACCCATTGACCCAATTAATCAAGATCTCTTTGTAATTTTAGATAACCTTCTTCACTGTCCACTATACTACCAATTTTGGTGTCATCTACAAACTTACTAACCATGCCTCCTATATTCAGTGACATTGAAAGAATTCTGATCTCAATATTTTTCTTGATTCAGCTGAAATGGATCCTGTGCTCCCTGACAATTTAGAATGGCCTCATTACTGTTCACTTTTGACTATCCAAAGACAGGATCCAGGCTCTGGGATGTTATTCATACAATTAAAGGTTGTTTGGAGCTCACTTATTGGAAGTGGTGAACCTGAACAAATCCTTGTGTTAGTCAGCATGTGGCCAACTGGGTTCTCCACAGCAGTTACCAGATGCTCCAGCTGAGGCAGAAGCTCCCCTTGTGACCAGATAAGGACCATATTCCATTCTGGGAGGAGATGTCACACCCGGGAACAATCACACGCCTCTTTTCCAGTGCCTTCCCCCGACCTGTCCAGAAAGACCAGCTTTGACTTGAAGAGGATGACATTTTGTCAATGTTATGATCCTTCTCTGACTGTTAGAGATTGGCCCCTTTCAGACCAGGAGACACACCCAGAGTGTACCCCTGACAACCTGCAAAAAAATCAGACTTGCTTTTGTTGTTTCTGGAATGTAGTACCGGACTCTTCAGTTCTTGATGTAAGTTTTCACAATCCCTCTGATCAGACGGAGTAGAATTCCTCACCTATTCCCGTGGTGAAGCCAATTGGAATGGCTAATATGGCATGTCTGTGTAGAGGGAATGTTGGCAGTGTCGCAGGGCAGTGCCACACAGCAGTCTGATCTTACCCTCAGCTGTGTACTGGCTGCACGTTGATGCGTTTGGCCCAGACTATAGGCACCAGGGAACTCTGCAAATGCAGCAACATTCTTCAGCATGAGAACAATGTTCTACTTTGACATGAGACCTCAGAAAGGTCATCACCCTTGTGGCATGTCCCAGATACACTGTGTTAGATATGATATTCAGTGATGGCAATGTCCATCTCTCTCATCTTTCCATCCGAAAGGTTTGCTGGTGGCTGCAGATGGAGTTTTGATAGTCCTGACTGTAAACCCTCCAGTGAAAGCAGCAATCACTGAAGAGATAATGTGAATTCTTGTAGGTTTCCTGTGAGTCTTTGGAAGAAGTGCGTTTGTAGACTGTGCTCTTTCAGATGATTCACTTTGTCCCAAAACTGACAATAAAGCCAGAAACCTCAAAATGTCATTGTCCTGCTACTGCAGTTGTAGAATGTTAATGCTCAGCTCTGCTTTAACAATGCAGCTTCACTCTTTTTCATCGTTATATTGTGTCTTCAACACAAGGTATCATGAAAGAGAAAGTTAACCAGCAGCCAGTCCAGTACAAGTGCTGCTGTGAGCCTCCTGACTGAAAGTGGCCACCAGAGCTTTCAGTGCTATAACTGAGGGATGCTCTCGCTGATCTGAATGCTTTTGTTCCAGCTGCTGAAAGCATGTCCTGCTATCCCTCTCCAACATCAGTCTGAATGACCAAATGAGACAGAATTGTGAGATCTCCACATTGTATGACACTGTGGGCAATATCTTTGGGGAGCGATGACGGAGTTGAAAGCAGGTTTAGACTTAAGGGGATTACTTTAGAGTCATACAGCATAGAAATAGGCTGTTCAGCCCAACATATCTATGCTGACCAACAAACACCAAACTACACTAATCCCATTTACCTGCACTTGGTCCATTAAAACTACTGTGCCCTGGCATTTTAATGCTCATTGAGATGCTTCTTAAATGTTGCGAAAGAACCTGCCTCCACCGCCATCTCAAGCAACACGTTCCATATTCGTACCACCCTCTGGAAGAATATTTCTTTTTCTCATATCTCCTCTAAATCATGTACTCCTCACCTTAAAGATATGCCCCTCTGGTCTTAGACATGTCTGCCATGGAGAAGAGATCTTCACAATCTACCCTGTCTACACCTCTCATAACTTCATCTACTTCAATTAGATTCTCCCTCAGCCTCCCCTGCTCCAAGAAAAACAAATCCAGCCTATCCAGTCTCTCTTCATAACTGAGACTCTTCATCCCAGGCAACATCCTGCTGAGTCTCCTCTGTATCCTCTCCAGTACATTTATGTCCTTCTGATAGCGTGGCGACCTGATCTGCAGACAGTATTCCATCAGTTGCTGAACCAATGTTTTATAAGGTTGTAATGAGACTTCCTTGCTCCTATATTGTACAACCTGGCTAATGAAGACAAGCATCCTGTATACCTTCATCACTGCCCTGTCTAGCAGCACAGACACCTTCAGGGGTCTCTGGACTTGTATGTCAAGGTCCCTTTGTTCCTCAGTATTCCCTAGGGATCTATCATTCATTGTGTATATCCTTCCCTAAGAGAATTCCTAAAATGCATTACCTTGCACTTATTGTGATTATTTTCCATCTGCCAATGCTGTCCCAATGTATCAGATGATCAGTTTCAGACTGCAGCCTGAGACCATCCTGC